TTTTTTCTTTTTGCTTATGTGGTGCTGAGGAATCAAACCCAGGGCCGCCTCAAGCATGCAAGGCAAGCGCTCTACCACTGAGCCACCTTCCCAGCCCCTCTTTTTTTTTTTTTGTCAGTCATGGAGCCTGAACTCTGGGCCTGGACACTGTCCCTCAGCTCTTCAACTCAAGGCTAGCACTCTACCATTTGAGCCACAATACCACTTCCAGTTTTTTCTGCTTATGTGGTGCTGAGGAATTGAACCAAGTGCCTCAAGCATGCAAGGTAAGCACTCTACCAATGAGCCACCTTTCCAACCCTACTTTTTTTTCTGTGTGTATATGTACTAGGACTTGAACTCAGAGCCTGGACACTGTCCCTTAGCTTTCTCATTTAAGGCTGGTGTTCTACCACTTAAGCCAAGCTCTACTTCTAGCCTTTTGCTGGTTAATTGAAGAGTATCTTGGCCTTTTCTGTCCAGGCTGGCTTTGAACCATGATCCTCAGATCTCAGCTTGCTGAGTAGCTAGGATTTCAAGCATGAATCACCAGTGCCTAGTTATTTATAGCTTTAAACTTGCTTGAAGTAAATGAGGGGGTGGGAAGATTTTATTTTGATCAAAGAGGGATGTGGATTAAGAAAGTTTTCTAGGGCTGGGAAGGTGGCTTAGCATGCCTAGCATGCATGAAGCCCTGGGTTCGATTCCTCAGTACCACATATACAGAAAAAGCCACACGTGGCGCTGTGACTCAAATGGTAGGGTGTTAACCTTGAGCAAAAGAAGCTCAGGGACAGTGCCCAGGCCCTGAGTTCAAGCCCCAGGACGGGCAAAAAAAAAAAAGATTAAAAAAAAAGTTTTCTAGCAAAGTTCTCACACCTATAACTCATAATCCTAGTTACTTAAGAGGCTGAGTTCTGAGGAGCAAAACTAGTTGGGGCAGACAAATTCAAGACTTATTTCCAATTATCCAGCAAAAAGCTGGAACTGGTAGAGCACCAGCCTTAAGTGAAAAAGTTGACAACTCTAAGAGCAAGAGTTGTAGGTTGTGCTGCCATTTTCTGCCTGTATCTTGCTTTGCCTACCAGGCGAGTTTTATGTCTGGTCTGCTGCTGCTTCTTTTTTTGTCAGTCCTCAGGTTTGAACTCAGGGCCTAGGCACTGTCCTTGAGCTTCTTTTGCCTAAGGCTAGCACTTTACCACTTGAGCCACAGAGCTACTTCTGGCTTCTTCTGTTTCTGTGGTACTGAAGAATTGAACCCAGGGCTTCATGCATGCTAGGCAAGCACTCAACCACTAAGCCACATTCCCAGCCCTGTGGCCTGCTTCCTTCACAGTGCGGTTATGAAGGCCCAAACTCTGTGCAAACTTCCAACACCATCAAGGCTTTTGTTTCCACGGGGTCAAGACACAGGAGGCCTGCAGCACTGTAGGAATCACTAAACCATGATTTATCTATTTTTTGCTGGTTAGGGCTTGAATTCAGGGCCTGGGCACTGTCCTTGAGCTTTTCTCTGCTCAAGTATAGTACTCTACCTCGCAAACTATAGCTCTACTTCTGGCTTTTTTGATGATCAATTAAAGATAGTTTCACAGACTTTCCTGCCCAGGCTGGCTTTGAACTGCAATCCTTAGATCTTAGCCTCCTGGGCAGCTAAGATTATTGGTGTGAGCCACTGGTTCCCAGCTAGGCACAGTGAAGTTTAAAGAGATGACAGCCCTTTGTCTTAGTCTGGATTTGAACCCAGCACCTTGGACTCTGGAGATCCTATTCTTGCCAAAGTCATGGCTACTAATGACCTGTGGGCTGAGGAATACACTCTAGGTTGGAGAGGGTGGATTCTTTCCAGAGAGGGTTACTGTGACGGGACCTACAGTTTGCCCCAAAGGCTGGCACATAGCCCTGCCTTGTACTCCTAACCAAAATGGACTTGCTGGGCAGACCAGCCGTCCAGATCAGGCCAGAAGCCTGTCTCTCAACCCCCAAAGCTGGCAAGATGGATGGTAGTGCTGGCCTGCGTGAGCTAAAATGGAGGCGCTCGCTCTGGAAAGCAAGGCACAAAAACCCTCTGAAATGCTCAGGGTGGCATGTCAGATTGTGACACGTGGACCGATAGTCCTGACACAGAGTTATGCCCTACCCCCAGATCCATTTTGTTGTCTTAATTACAGTGCCCACCCTGCTTTTATCCCCACCCTAATCACACAGGCACAGAATCTTAAGGTGAAAGCAGACAGGCAAGACAGAGTGGGAGGAAAGATAGGAGAGAAGGTTCCAGGCCAAAGGACCACCCAGGGTTCACATGCAGCAGGCTCCATCTTCTCCCCTCTCACTGTGGCTTTAAATATGTCAGCGGTGAGTTACTAGTGCTCTTCACCTCTGATTATCAAGTAATCTGGGGAGGTTGGAGTTTGTTGAAAGGAACTGAGGTGAACTTCTGGAGCTGAAGGTTGAGAATCTGGGACAGGGTCATCTTTAGGGAGCTTCTTTAGAGGGTGTTTTACGGGGCCTAGGGGAGTATGTATGCAAACTGGGATGCAGAGTTTAAAAGGGGAAAAAAATGGGGATCCCCAGCCTGGCATTAGTAGCTCACGCCTGTAATCCTAGCTGCTCAGGAGGCTGAGATCTGAGGATTACGGTTTGAAGCCAGCCCCAAGCAGAAAGGTCCATGAGACTCTTTTCTCCAATCAATCAGCAATATGCTGGAAGCAGAGGTGTGGCTCCAGTGGTAGAGCACCAATTCTGTGTAGGTGGGGGAAGCTAAGTAAGACTAAGGACCTGTGTGCGTTTAAGCCACAACCAGGGCACAAAAAGAAAAGGTCGGGAGTAGAGAGGGTTGAGGGGAAGAGTGTAGAGAACCCCAGACACCAAGAGCTCCAGGAGCCGGGGCTCAAGGAAGAGACAGTCAGTCTGGTGGTGCCTAAACCATTACCTCGAGTCAAACTTCTTTCCGTCCTCAAAGGTGCCATTGTAGTGGTAGCGCACAAAATCTCCCATCTGCACTTCGCGGGGACAGGCCCTGGGGATGTGGTACCTCTCGATGACCACATCTTCCAGGGGGCCTGCGGCTGGGCTGGCTCGGCCCAGGCCCCTGTCCAAGGCCTGAAGCAGCAGCAGCAGCAACTGTGGTAGAGGAAGCCGGCGCAGGGTGTGGCTGTGGGAGCCCACCGGGGACATGGTGCCTGGAGCGAGGACGCGGGCAGTAAGGACGACCTGGGGGGATCCGCAGCCAGCCGTCAACCTCCTTCCCTCCCCCCTCCCTTCCCCTCCCCTCTGAGGGTTGGCTCCCCCTCTTCCTGTCCTCCTTCCTTGCCCCCCCTCCTGGCTGGTCTACGTGGAATGGGGGCTGGGGAGACTGAGCTGGCCGGCAGGGGCCAGGCCGGGTGGTGATGGAACCGGAGAAGGCCCGAAGGCTGGGAGTTTAGAGCCCCAGGAATGTGCCACAAGAATCTCCAGATCCCCCTCCCTCCATCTCCACCCTCAGCCCAGTCCTGGGGCCTGGTGGGAAGGGGGTTCAGGAAAGATGAGAAGTCTGATGGGAGCCTGAAAAGAAAAAAGAAAAAGAAAAAGTCCTGTGTCTTCCATTTACCACCACCACTCCCCCCCCCCCCGCCCCTGCAGCCCTGGGTCCTAAAGCCAGATGTAGACATCCTGTGTTTCTTTTCCTAGTTACCCCCTTTCCCCCCCCAAATCTAGGCCTCTCCAAGCCGGTGTTGAGGTCGGGAAGCTAAGGGGGTGTCTCAGTGTACAACCCACCCTCCCCATCCTCCAAGGGGAGGCCTCTCTAGGGACGTGGAAGTGGAAGCGTGGCTCAAGTGGTGGAGCGCCAGCCTTGAGGTCAGTGTGTGGGGAGGAGGGGGGGACGTAGAAGGCCCTGAGTTCAAGCCCCAGTACCGGCGCGCGCGCACACACACACACACACACACACACACGTATACACGCGTAAAAACAAAAGCTAGACTCTAAAGAGAACTTTGTGATTTGGGGCTGGAGGGTGGGCAGGCCCGGGTCTCCAGGGGCAAGGCCTGGAGGGGGCAGCAGGGACGCGGGTGTCCCAAACTTTATCCGGGGCCTGAGTGAGGCGGGCGGGACGGGGTGAGCCCTGTCTGTGAACCGGGCCTTTCTGGGTTCTCCATCCTCGGCCAGGAAGCGTACTGCAGCCCAGCCCGTCGGCCAAAGGGGCCGGAGGTCCGGTCGGCGTGGCAGACCTGAGATGGTTAAAGGATCTGAAAACAGACGGGGCTTGGGGGCGCACCCGAGCACCCCCCCACTTTCTCCGCCCGTCGTCGGGCGCTAAGACCCAGCAGACCGCGCGGCGGGGTC